CAGGGGGCGTGGGGGGGGGGAGGGTCCAGCCAGGAGAGCAGGAGGCCAGCAGCCCTATTTTGAACATTCAGGGCTGTAGGGGCACCTCCCATTCCCCGAAAAGCTCAGACACACAATGGAGCGGTCAGTAAGAGGGATTGCGGGCTCCAGAGCACCTGTTCTGGGCTGACTTGTCGAACCCCTCCCCCCGCCCCCCAGGGTCCAGCTAACGTGGGAAGGACGGATGGAGCCGTTGCCCTGAGTACAAGGAGCTTCAGCCGGACTGTGCGAGCTCGAACCTGGCTTCCACCGCACACTGCCTGCGTGAGCCCCGGCAAGTGACTTCATCTCCGCGCGCCTCCTCCCTTCATCTCTAAACAGGGAGGACACAGCCCCTACGGCCTGGGACTGCCCTGCGGGGGTGGGGGTGCCTCCCGGGTGAGAAAACCAACAGGGCAGCTCGTGCTGCTTCTGTCACTCACAGAACATCCGCTCGACAGTTCTGAAAGGGGGCGCCTTTGTTAGCTGCCACCGCTGGTGAACGGCTGTGGAAGGGGAAACGGAAGCCCAGAGGGCAGGCACACTGACCCCCCGCTTCCCCGCCTCTGACACTCAGCCAGGGAGCAACAGAAACCGGGTCTCCTGGATTACAAGGTCAATGTTCCTTCTCCTACAGCCAACCTTCCGGGGACCAAGAGCTTATGGAAAATCCGATGACAACAGATCCTCTTGCCCGAGAGGTAGACCTGCACACACGCACGTGCACGCACCCCCCCCCCACCCCGGGATGACAACATTTCTGGGTGTTCTCAGCTCCTCTGAGGCCAGCCCTAGACTAGGATCCGCGAAGACAAGGTTTCATGGATCCTAGGGTACAAATCCCTGTGTCTTATCTTGCTGTGTTCTGGAGAGAGCTTTCTTTTGTTTTCAGAGGATTATCATGTGTTTCTTTGGGCAAGAGTGCTGTGAAACACGACTGGGAATGACTTTACTCTCAGGCTGCCGTTCTGTCATCTTCTCAACCCAGACGGGTGAGGCCAGCACGGAGGTCTGGCAGGTGGGCGCGCGTCCGAGAGACCCCTCCGGATGGGAGGCCTCCCCTCAGCACACCCCTGCTGCTGTTCGTGGGCCCAACATGGGCTGGATGTTCTCTGGGGCCACCAGATCCATCCTTTGTCCTGCTGGCCCCTGGCAGGTGTCCCTGGGGGACCTGGTCCTTCGGCTTACAGATGCAATGGGCCAAGGGGAGACCCAGAGGGGAGAAAGGTGGGAGGAAAGGGAGCTGTAGGCACTTTTCCCGCCGCTCCCCACCTGCTTTGCGGGGTTCTCTGGCATTGGCTGTGGGCTTCTACGCTAGGGGACTGAGTAGGTGTCTACAGACCCTGCTCTTGATGGACCCCAGGGACATCATTTCCTCCCCGCCTACCCCTACAGGCCCTGGGATAAGGCGGGAGGTAGGGGGACTGCTCCTCAGTACTGCTCACCTCTGGCCCCTACCCTCACCTCTGCATTACAGGCTCTTCCTGCCAACCCCTGGGGTAAATTCTGTTCCCTGCTAGGACCCTGCCCATCTTCCCCTGGTTTGGGAAGGGTCTGGCAACACTCACTTCCACACACTCGGTTAGCTCAGAGCGCATGGCCCCTTCCAGAACCTGAGGGCCATGTTCCTCCAGGGGGACTCAAAGGGAGTCCAAACACAGAGCTGGACTCGCTCAGAACTGACCTTGGGGCCCTCACCTCACCTTGCACTTGAGCTTCCCGGCCTTTAAGTGGGGACACGGTAATGTGCACCGCCTGAGGCCTTCTAGGAGGACACACTGTGTCAATTCCAAAGGGCTGTCTGACATTTTCCATCATGACCTGTTATTCATCGCCTCCATTTCTGGAAGGGACCCAGGACAGTCTACATTCAGGGTCTGGACGAGTCAGGATGAAGGAAGCCATGCAGGAAGCACTCATATACCTGGGTCTGATAAAAACCTCAGACTTCTGGAAGATGGCATTTGCTAGTATAGAGTAGTACAGGGTGGCGGGGTGGGGTGCGAGTTCTGGAGCTGGCCTAGAGCTCCAATCTGTGACTTTCCAGCCGCGTGACCACGGGCAGTGCCTCACTCGGTTTCTTTGTAAAATGGAGACAGCAGCGCCCGGAGCTGCTGCCACTGTCCTGGGGCTCAGTGAGACGGCGCAGGTCAGAGACTGAGGACAGACCTCAGCACGGAGTGAGTTCTTAATAAACAGGAGTAGTCACGTGTCACTGCGGTGCTTGGTTGGTCTTAGTGTTCCCATCCGTAAAATGGAGCTAATCAAGAGGAGCTGGGTGGCTCAGTGAAGTGTCCACCTTCGGCTCAGGTCAAGATCCCAGGGTCCTGGGATCGAGCCCCGCACCTGGCTCCCTGCTCATGCTCTCTCAACTCTCTCTCAAACGAATAAATAAAATCCTAAAATTAAAAAAAAAAACCAACACAACCCGGGGTTCATCATGCCCATTTCGCAGGGCTGCTGGGGAATTCCCGGGAACACATGTGGAAGAACGCTACTGCCTCTGTTCCCGCTGGGACTACACCTGCTCTGTCTGGGCCGCGGCCTGCAGCTGATACTAGAGACGGCCGATCCCAGAGCGGCGCCCGTGACCGAGCCTTTCCGCTGGAGTGAGGCTATAACGCTGTCTCTGGAACTCAATTTATCGAAGGGGGCTTCTCCGCGACGCGGGGGAGAAGTGCTGAGCCTGCAGGCCGCCGGCCCCGGGGGCGGGTGGAGGCGAGGTGTGGGCAGAGGCCCTTACACAAACATTTGCTGCGGGTGCATTTGGGCCTGTCAATGGTTGTCGATAGGGATAGGTTCCCTTTCTGCACGTCAGGATTTGGGGACTTATTGAGTTGTGAGTGGGGACTGTGTGCTCGGTCCTGATTCCTCTGGTCGCTCGTGTACTTTTGCTGGTAACTTCCCCAGCCTCCGACGGGGGGCCTGGCCTATGCTGGACATGGGGCCGGGCACGGGGGCCCAGAGAGGAAGCCGAGGACACAGTCTCCATGCGGGGAAAGGCATCAGTCCAGCGAGGAGAAAACCATAATGAAATAAATTACAACATGGCAGGGAAGTGTAGGAAGGGAGGACAGAGCCCCTACTGATACCGAAGGAGAGGGGCAGAGAAAGGGAGGGCTTTCTGGGGGAGGTGTCATTTGAGCTGGGCCTGACTGGCTGCACAGGCCCTGGTTGCTTAAACAAACTGGAGGGCCGAGCATTCTGAGCAGAGGGAAGAGCACACGGGGAGGCACAGAGCACCACCACGCGCTCGGGGCGGTCAGGTGGGACTGGGCTGGAAAAGGCCCCTGGAGCCAGGGAGGCCAAGGGTGTATCTGAAGAGTCCACAGGCTGAGCTACAGTCAAAGGCTACGCCCTGTGCTCGAAGCAAACCTCAGGGTGGGGGGGGGGGGGGCGTCTGCACACCCAAGACACTGCCCTGCTTGCTAGCCCAGAGCAAGACCAATGGCGCCCAACAACTGGAAAACTCCCAGCCCCGTAAGGGCCGCCTCCTCTGCGGGGTCCCCTATGCTGCTGCATGACTGGGGAGACCCAGTGTCACTGGCTGGGACAGGCAACAGTCACATCCTGGCTCCACGCTCCATCCCTGCAGGGATGAGTGGCAGAAGGGTGAGCTCTGCAGCCAATACCCCACACTGCCCCCAGGTGACACTGTGGCTCCCCACTGTCTGGTGGGGATGGGTGAGGGGAGCAGTGGCAGGCGCCTGGATAACTGGTCCACCCAGGAAACCCCCAAGAGCTGAGAACCCTCCAGTTGTCCCTGGGACTCCTGGGTGGAGGAAGGCAGCTTGCCACCTGAGACCTCAGAGCAGCCATGGCTGATGCCGCGGGTGGGACGACGGAGTCCCTTCACCAAGCCTGCTTTCCTGGGCAGGTGGGAGGAAGAAACGCATTCCCAGCCGGGGGAGGCTATTCCTGGGCACCCGTCATGAAGCCAAAAGGATCCTAAGTGGGCAGGAGGCTAGCAACTGCCCCTTTCCTGCCAGGCCCTGAGTGCACTTCTGAGATGCATGGGAGAGGCGTGGAGATGGGATTCAAGTTCAAAGGGTCCTTGATAGCCCAAGTGCAGGGGTGCACACTGGGAGGGACAGTTGGGAGCACCTGCCTCTCCTTCCGCATGCCCGGTGTGGCTCAGTGTTCTCGAGACTTTCCCTTGTCCCCTCCTACCTGACTCCCCAGCACCTTGTTGGATAGGATGAGACCCAGTGTAAGCCGGCCCCCAACTCTCGCCACCTTACCTGCTCCAGCCATGCTGGCTTCCCTGCTTCTGCAGGTGCCAAGCTCAAGGTCCCCACTGCTCAGGCAGCCCTCTTGTGGGCGCAAATGTCACCTCTGCAAGGACACCTTTCTAGTCCACCCGCTCAAGTAATGTACCCGGCCTCTTCCCCTAGAACCTGCCGCCCGGCTAGGTCACAGCCGCACCCCTGTGCTAGAACAAGCAGGCACTCACCGAGTATTTTCTGGGGAGGGACTGAATAATCAGCGAGGCCATGGGATGCCACCAAAGTGTGTGAGAGGTGGGAGTAAGGTCCTGTGACCATTGGGCTCCCGGCAGGGAGCGGACGGCCCTCAAACGGAGTAACTGAGGAGGATCCACCGGAAAGGAGGCAGAGGGTAGGCGTTTCAGTGCAAGTGACCCCCTTGGCTGGCCAAGGGGACCTGGACAGAGAGTGCCAGGTAGAGAGGGCAACTAGACGTGAGCTGCAGCCCTGGGTGGCAGTGCCAGCGGCCACCTGCCAGGAAAGAAGGCGGGGGACCAGGGCAGGGGGTGCCGGTGGAATGGGGAGGGGATAAACTCCCTGACCCCAGTCTCCTCCTCTTTCCCAATTTCCTGCCAGGCCTTCCCAACGACCCAACCCAGCCGGAAGCCAAAGGGTATGGAGGCTACAGGCGCCGTCTGCACAGATCAGCATCCCGTCGAGGGATGGCAGCAGCCCGTCCAGGCAAGGACAGACCCCCGGGCACCCTGGCACGCTTACCGTGGAAGTGCTTGGCCGTCTTCCGCCGCAGGGTCTGCAGGCTCACCTCCGAGTCAGCCCACTCCAGGACCAGTCTCCGGCCGTACAGGTGGGTGCTGTGACACAGCGCGTGGAAGGCTCTCTGGGGGAGCGAGGGCAGGAAATGAAACGGCGAGTTAGCGGAGACCTACAGCAGACGTTCGTCCCGTCCCCTGCCCCCATGCCGGCACCTCAAGCTCAAAGGCCAGGTTCTGGCCCTTGTGACACTTGCTCTCCAGCGAGGGTGTGGGAGCTGCTGGGCACTTAACTCAATTAGCAGGTTATGTTCCCAGGGAGAGAGCTGCGAGGGAACGTGCCGTCAATATATCTGCCTGTAATTGGTGGCTTGGCCAGTGACCGGCTTCCTCCCACACTGTGTCCCATCTGGGGAGGGCCACCCCATGGGCCGGCTCACCTCCCACTGGGCCATCGGGGAAGCACCATGGGACAAAACTGAGCCCTGCCTAGCCATGGCGACCAGCCACACAAGCCCCTCGCTTTTCCCTGGTGGCTCTGTCCTTCGCCAGCCCCGAGGAGTCCGTCCCCCGCCCTCCCAGGCACTGGCTCCTTCCCTGGGCTCAGCAGCTCTGGCCTCCCGCTCTTCGCTGCTCCTGGCCTCCAAGTTCTGCCTACCCCCAACTCTGGTGTTTGGGGCTGCTTTACTGAGATATAAACCACACACTGTACAAGTCACTCCTCTAAAGTACACAGCTTGTGGGTTTTCAGGACAGTCAAAGTTGTGCGGCCATCACCGTGTCAAGTTCAAAACACTTCATCCTCCGTCCTCCCAGGAGGAAACCCCACACTCGGCACTGGTTGCTCCTCACCCTCCCCCGGCCTCCGGCCCCACGAGTCTGCTTTCCGTCTCTTCGAATCTGCCTGTTCCAAACGTTTCAGATGAACGGAACCATGCAGTACTGGTAAGTTCACTCTTAAATGTCACCAGGGCCCAGGCTAAGTGGCACCGCCCTGAGGCTCATCCTGCAGCTCTCCTGTGGTTCACAGAAGCCACTGGCTTAGACTCCAGAGCCACTGTGTCTGGGCAGGGCAGGTCCTGTACCTCCTCGCTTTAAGACCTTGGGCAAGTTAATGAACCTCTCCGGCCTCAGTTTCCTGGTCTATGAAATGGGAATGTTAATGGCCCTCCAATCTCAGGGTTCTAAGGGAGAGGAGAAAGAGTTAAGTGGAAGGTGCCTACAACATGTGGGGCATACAGTAAGTGCTCAATAGATGCTAGCTCTCATCCCGGTTGTGCTGTTACTGCTGACTTGTCGCATCTGTGATTTCTTTCTCCCAGCAGCGAGGCCGCAGGCCAGCCACGGGTATGGCCAGGGCCAGCCTCGGGTGCTCGTCAGGTCGGGAAGCCACAGTGGCTAACGGTGGCGTCTTCATCTGTGCTTCTGGGCTGCCATCAGCAGCCCAGGGACTGGGACTCATCCCTCTTGCTTCCCCCATGCTGCGAGGAGGTGGCGTGTGACCAGGAGAACTCCACGCTGGAACAGAGCCCCCTCTGGCCCTCACCTTCAGCGTGACTGTTACGGGCTGGACCGTGCTCCCCTCAAGAATGGATGTTGGAATCCACACCCCTAGTACCTTGGATTGTGACCCTATTTGGAAACAGGTCCTTGCAGGTGTAGTCAAACAAAGGCGAGGGCATCCTGGAGAAGGCAGGCCTCTAAACCAGTACGACTGTGGCCTCGTAAGAGACAGCCACGTGAAGACAGACGTGGCGGGCGCCCCATGGAAACAGGGGGCTGAGGAATGCTGCTGCCACCAGATGCTGGGAGAGAGGAGGGGAACAGACTTCCTTTGAAACGAACCCAACAACTCCTGCCCCCTTGATCAGGGACTCCCAGCCTTGAGAATGGGGAGATGTCAATTTCTGTTGGTTTCAACCACCCAGGCTGTGGTACTTCATTACAGAGGCTGAGGTGACCCTGGGTAAGTCAGGTGCCCCACTGGGAGCCCTGGTCTCCTCATCTGTAAAATGGGGCTAATCGTGGGATGAACACACGACATGCCCAGGGGGGGGTCACCTACAGTGGATATTCCATAACAACCGAATCTGAAAAGCACTGGTGGGAGCTGGTGGGACATGCACTTTTTTAAAAACAAGACATGCGGTCCAAGTACAGAAATGCTCTGTTCTCGTTGCGCTTTTCTGAGAAGGGCCAGGTGCAGGAAACTTTTTTCTCCCTCCCCCACCACCCCCCGCTTTTGTTTTACTTTAATTTAAAAAACTCTTTCTGACTGCTAGCAGAGCCTCTGCATTTTTTCCATGCGGACATAAAACTGCATCTGGACTCCGAGCCGAAATGGCCCATTCCGAGCTTTAAAACACACGCGTTCTCAGCTGGCACTGCAGAGAGACAGCCTGACTGGGGGAGCTGGGGTTTTGAGCTGGGGGAGAGAAGTCAGTCGGGAGTCTGGCGTGGTGGGTATTCCGTCCCGGCGTCCGGGTCCCTGAGGAGCTGCGGTCCCAGGGACGCAGGCGGGTGGGTGGGGGGGGGGGGGGGGGGGGGGCACGAGACTCCAGCTGGTGGGGGCTGAGCTGCAGAGAGAAGGGAGGGAGGGGGCCTGGGAGGGGGGCCTCAGGCAAGACACCCCGGCCCCGGCCCCTCTCTGCGTGCAGCTTTCAGACTGGCGTTTCGTTCCGACCCCGTTCTCCGCTGCTGTGCCCATGGAGCCTGGGAGGGGTCTGTTCACTGCCGCAGTTGCTGAGAAACTCCCTCTCCTGGCCTCTGATGGCAACCCTTCCAAATTCTCACCTCCTCTTTGGAAGGGCTTTTCACCTCCAGAAGTGAGGTGGCACAGTCATTAAGACTGGGGGCCTCTGGTTCAAATCCCCACTGCACCACATGCAAGCTATGTGAGCTTGAGCAGGCTGCTTAACCTCTCTGGGACCCATTTCCTTCAGTGGCGGCAGCAAAGAGTGGCAAGGAGGAGCCCGTGGACTGTGAAGTCTAACAGCACCCTTGCTTGGGGTTATTATTATGGATGCCCTCTGCTCCCCTTATGCCACCAAAAAATGGGAACAATATTCGGTGGGACACGAGCTCTTGTGCATTTGGCGCTGGAGCCCAGCATGCAGTTCTCCAAAAATAGCAGGACTAGCCTCCCTCGTCCCAGTCCCCTCCGGTTCACAGGAGACCAAGCCGCTTTCCTGAGTGCCCACTGCCTTGCTAGTTCAACGTAGTGGCCTCAAACTGTCGCAGGCAGCGGGGACAGGGACTCGAGGCTAAAAGTGGCCTTGGACAATCCAGAGTCATTGTATTTCACTAAAGGGGCCTGAGGTGAGCTTGTTATATATCTGGGGGGTCCTAGAAGGCAGAGGGGTGGGTGAGGAGAAGGACACAGCCCAGGCCTCAAGAGGCCTTCAGGCTAGTGTGGAAGGCACGGAAGGTTCTAGGCACAGCCAAGGGGAACGTGCAGCCCTGGCCTCTCTGGCCTGGGGCCTGCCAGTAGCTTCCCCCCAGCCTCTGGGCCTGCTGAGACCCATGTCACCTTCCTCCTGAGAGTTCTGAACCTCAGCTGAGGCACAGGCCCCCTCTGACAAATCAGCTCTCGGGGAGTCATTCATCTGGGGGTGCCCAGAACTTGGTGCAATGAGGGTGTCTCAGAAAAAGCGGGGAGTTAGACATTCCTGGCCTGGTGCTTCTCTCCAAACCCTGCTGCTGCTGCCTGTTTTCTTCCCTTGGAATGAAAGGGAAGCAGATCATGGACCTCCAGGGTTGAAACTCTAAGCCTGGGCTCCCAACCTATTTATGAGAACAGACATTATTCTCCCATTTCAGTGATAGGAAAACAGGTGCCGGCCAAGGTCCCTACACACGCCGACTTCCTTCTTCCTTCCCCTTTCAGACCCTGTGTGTTCCATCCTCGGGCCTTTGTGACCTGCTCCAGTCCGGCCTCAGAAGAGCTCCCTTGTCACAGCTGACCTGCTGGTGGGCCCAGGGCACAACCTGCTCTCCTCACAGACGACAGCCGGGTGCCCTTCCTGTGCCGCACCTGTGTGGCCTCCAGCCCAGCACCGGCCCCATGAACATCTGCTTACAGGCCAGCCTCCTAAGTGCAGCCTTGAACCTTGGAAGGAAGACCTCTTTCCTTGCTGCCCGTAGTACTGCCCAGGGAACAAGGTCGTTCCCCCTTATCTGTGGGGGATACACTCCAGGACCCCAGGGGACGCCCAAACCCACAGGTGGTATGGAACCCACATATACATATTTTTCCTATACGGGTGTACCTGTGGCAAAATTTCATTTATAAATTAACCACAGTAAGAGATTTAATAATGCTGCAATTAGAGAACTACAGTTACAACAGTAGTGAACAGCCGTAACAATAAACTTTACTAAAAGTACCTGAACGCGGTCTTGCTCAAAATCTGCTACTGTCCTAACTCCCTCTTCTTTGTGGGGTGTGGGAGGTTAATGTGCCTGTGAGACGAGAGGGCATGAGCGAGGTGCACGATGTGGGCGTCGGGCAGCTACACTGGCCGTCTCTGGACGAGGGTCATCTGCTTTTGGACCGCGGCTGACCGCAGGTAACACACCGTAGATAAGGGGGTGGGAGGGGGCTACTGTATTCACAGAGCAGACCGTGGGGCTCTTCCACCGAGGATCTGCAGACTGGAAGGGACACTTGCTTTGGTCCTGGCCAGAGACGGAGGGCTGACTTAAGTAGCCTGCTGTGGTCCCTCCACACTCCTACAATACAGACCATGAAAGACAGGAACAAGAAGCTCGTGTCTTTGGCTGCCCGTATGCGTGGTGCACTCTGCCTTCTGACTGGGACGTGACTTGGTGCCTACACGGTCTTGTGTCTGGCAGTGGAGAGGGGAAAAAGATTTGCTCCCAATATGTATGACTTGGGGACCTTGGGGGACAGGTACAGGTGCCCATGCCACCAGGACTCAGTACACCACCAGACCACCACTTGGGTAACTGCAGAAGCCTGAAGATCTAGAGGGGAACTTGAAGGGTGCATCCGACTGGCCAGGAGGAAAATACCACAGAAGAGGGGAGCCCCTGCTCTCTGGAGCCACTTCCCATCATCATCCGACAGGCCAGTGCTGGCTATTCCTGCTTCTTTCCGGAACATTCC